CACACCATCCCCCCCACACCATCCCCCCACACCCATTGTGTGATGCCCATATCTTAAACACATCAACAAACTGGAAAAGGTGCAAAGACATGCTACTAAGTGGCTCCCAGAACTGAAGGGCAAGAGCTACGAGGAGAGGTTAGAGGCATTAAATATGCCAAAACTAGAAGACAGAAGAAAAAGAGGTGATAAATCCAGGGATCCCATCACAATGGTTGTACTCTTAGTCACTTGTGTTGTCCCGTCTCGAGTACTGCTCAGTACTCACTTCCCCCTTCAGAGCAGGAGAGATTGCTGAAATAGAGGGAATACAGAGAACATATACAGCACGCATAGACGAGATAAAACACCTAAATTATTGGGATCGTCTCAAAGTTCTCCAAATGTACTCTCTAGAAAGGAGACGAGAGAGATACCAAATAATATACACATGGAAAATACTGGAGGGCCAGGTCCCAAATCTACACAGTAAAATAACAACGTACTGGAGTGAACGATATGGAAGAAAATGCAAGATTGAACCAGTGAAGAGCAGAGGTGCCATAGGCACAATCAGAGAGCACTGTATAAACATCAGAGGTCCGCGGTTGTTCAACACCCTCCCAGCGACTATAAGAAATATTGCCGGAACAACCGTGGACATCTTCAAGAGAAAACTGGACTGTTTTCTAAGAGAAGTTCCGGATCAGCCGGGCTGTGGTAGGTATGTGTCCCTGCGGGCCGCTCCAAGCAACAGCCTAGTGGACCAAACTCCCACAAGTCGAGCCTGGCCTCGGGCCGGGCTTGGGGAGTAGAAGAACTCCCATAACCCCATCAAGCAGGTATCAAGCAGACATGATCACTACATACAAAATAGTAACAGGAATTGAAAAAATCGATAGGGAAGATTTCCTGAGACCCGGAACTTTAAGAACAAGAGGTCATAGATTTAAACTAGCTAAACACAGATGCCGAAGAAATATAAGAAAATTCACTTTAGCAAACAGAGTGGTAGGCGGTTGGAACAAGTTAGGTGAGAAGGTGGTGGAGGCCAAGACCGTCAGTAGTTTCAAAGCGTTATATGACAAAGAGTACTGGGAAGACGGGACACCACGAGCATAGCTCTCATCCTGTAATTGCACCACATGGGGCCTGGTAGCCTGGTGGATAGCACACAGTACTCGGAATTCTGTGGTGCGGGTTCGATTCCCGCACCAGGCAGAAACAAATGGGCAAAGTTTTTTTCACCTTGAATGCCCCTGTTACCTAGCAATAAATAGGTACCTTGGGGTTAGTCAGCGGTCTCGGGATGCTTCCTGGGGTGTGTGTGTGTGGGGGGGGGGGAAGGAAAAAAAGTAGTTAGTAAACAGTTGATTGACAGTTGAGAGGGGGGCTGAAAGAGCGAAGCTCAACCCCCGCAGACACAACTAGGTGAATACACAATGCCAAGTCAGCTATTGTTTTCTACAGGAATCAATAAAACATGTTTATGATTAATAATGTATATTAATACGCAAAAATTAACATTTTAGCCTAAATATTTTACAGCTAAGATTGAAATTTTTAATACAGAATGGATGAGAGGTTTGGCAGCCATGCGTGGTCAGCAACAGGCCTCCCCTCCACCACTCTTACTAACGGGACCACCCTACATCACCACGACCCCTCTCGCTCACCACCACCGCCTCCCTCACCACCACCACCGCCCCCCCTCACCACCACCACCGCCCCCCCTCACCACCACCGCCCCCCCCCCCTCACCACCACCACCGCCCCCCCTCACCACCACCACCGCCCCCCCTCACCACCACCGCCCCCCCCCCACCACCACCGCCCCCCCCCCCCTCACCACCACCACCGCCCCCCCTCACCACCACCCCCCCTCACCACCACCACCCTCCCTCACCACCACCACCCTCCCTCACCACCACCACCGCCTCCCTCACCACCACCACCCTCCCTCACCACCACCGCCACCCTCCCTCACCACCACCGCCACCCTCCCTCACCACCACCGCCACCCTCCCTCACCACCACCGCCACCCTCCCTCACCACCACCGCCACCCTCCCTCACCACCACCGCCACCCTCCCTCACCACCACCGCCACCCTCCCTCACCACCACCGCCACCCTCACCACCACCTCCCTCACCACCACCTACCTCACCACCGCCTCCCTCACCACCACCGCCACCACTCTCTCCCTCACCACCACCACCACTCTCTTCCTCACCACCACCACCACTCTCTTCCTCACCACCACCACCACTCTCTCCCTCACCACCACCACCACCACTCTCTCCCTCACCACCACCACCACCACTCTCTCCCTCACCACCACCACCACCACTCTCTCCCTCACCACCACCACCACTCTCTCCCTCACCACCACCACCACCACTCTCTCCCTAACCACCACCACCACTCCCTCACCACCACCACCACCACACTCTCCCTCACCACCACCACCACCACACTCTCCCTCACCACCACCACCACCACTCTCTCCCTCACCACCACCACCACTACTCTCTCCCTCACCACCACCACCACCACTGCCTCCCTCACCACCACCACCACTGCCTCCCTCACCACCACCACCAATGCCTCCCTCACCACCACCACCACCACCAATGCCTCCCTCACCACCACCACCACCAATGCCTCCCTCACCACCACCACCACCAATGCCTCCCTCACCACCACCACCACCACCGGGAAAGCAAAATATAATTCTGTACAACTGTTTACACTTTGGTGAATTATAGTTGATGACAGTGGCTGTCATCCGTTATGACAGCTCGGTCTCGGTGATCGCTGGGACGAACATTCCTCACATAATCGAACATTTGTATGTTCCACTGAACATTTGGTACCGAATTCAATTTGTTCGGCTCTTCCGGGAATTCGATTGAGCGGGGTTCATTAGACTGAGGAAGCACTGTATATGCATTTAAAGTTCGAAAGCACGGCGTACCACACACAGCAAACAGAGAAAGTGATATCACATTACCCGTGAGCGCTCATGAGCAATAAAATATGTATACTCTTTTCAACTTTGTCACCTCTATTCTCATTGTAGGTCTTTCATTTTGGTGTCAATATGTTCACAAAGAAATTCCCTACAGGAGTATATGCATATAATGTCCAAAACCCACAGCCAAGCCGAAAGCAGGCCAAATTTTTTAATTTATGATGCCATACTGCGTCAATTCCGCACATTCGTCTATAAAATTTTTGATGCCATACTGAATCATCAACGAGCAAAAGTGTTAAAGTGCTCATAGGCCATTGCTTCCTGCACCTCTCTGAAGGGACCAGGTTCTGGCTCATGGTTCCCTGTAGGCATAAGAACTCCTGTAACTGATGACCCCAAACTAATATTGCACATATCAATTTGGATAGCTTCAAGAAGCCTCCGGGGCTCACCCAGAAAATGATGTTTCATTACATTCAATGCTGGTTTTCTGTGCATGAAAAGAATGGATAACTGAAAAAATGCAGTCAACAGTTATGCTGCAATAGGAATCTTGCAAAAGACGAGAGACACGATTAGGTGGGAATCTTGCGAGAGACAAGAGGCATAAGTGGGTGGGAATCTTGCGAGAGACGAGAGGCATAAGTGGGTGGGAATCTTGCGAGAGACAAGAGGCATAAGTGGGTGGGAATCTTGCGAGAGACGAGAGGCATGAGTGGGTGGGAATCTTGGGAGAATTAAGAGGCATCAGTGGTAAGGACGGCTTATTCTTTACTTTAATATTAGTGTTTTTGCTCCCAATTAAAGCTAATCATTGTTTTGAATGGTATTCAGAAATTTCTGCATGGTCTATGCTCTTTCATTGTGGATGTTTGTAAGATAGCTAGTACAGGTAGTGTTGAAGATATCATGCATGCTTTGCTCACTTGAACCATGTATTCTTTAACTGTGCAAACACTTGTCCAATAGCGCCTTTCTGTAATATAGCAGTGTGCTACTTACATTGTGTTTGCTTACTGATGGTTGAACTAAATTCTGTATTGAGATTCTTTTTTGAATATGTGATATATTAACTTTTTGACTTCTCAGCTATTTAAAAATACTAAATCATGATGCACATGGCAAAAACATAGTTAACAGATCTAGTGGGATAAAATCGCACGAAGCGATTTGTGCACAGGAGGAAATCACAGATTGCGATATGCAATAGTGTGAAGCTTAATTAAAGTAGAGACAGTGACCAATCAATGACGAGCTATTACAAACGAGTGAAACACTGTTGGTAATGAAGACTTTCCTCTACTACCGTTTCTTTCAATAACTTTTGTTGACAGCTTTTGCCCTTCATTTTTGTCAATATTAATTTAAGATAAGTTTAATTAAAAAATACATGGGGTTGAAAAAACTGATTGGATGTTTTAATTTTGAATGGATACAAGTTGACTGCAGGTACTGTACTGTACTCAAGACAGTGATGATTAGGTGCAGTAATTGATCAGAACACCATTGGTGACATGTCTTGGGTACTAGATGAAAAAAGGTAGGATTGATAGGTTGACAGATAGAGCAATATATAATTAAATTGACAATTAAGTTGTTTAAGCAGGCCGAGGGAAAATAAATAATTAAGGGAGGGAAATTTTAAATATAGGTATAATATAAAAGTGTATATTAACATGTTTGTCACTGAATAGGGCACACGTTTTTGGTCCAACACTAACCGAGTATTTATTGTATTTACGTACATAAAATCACACACGTTTCCCAACTAAAACATTTGAACATCACATTTAATAAATGTACTGTATGAGGATACATACAAAATTCACAAAATATCCCTGTTAAATAGATACGTCTTATACACAGGAAAATGCAGTAGTTTGCGATGCCATTTAAAATATTGTACACTCATACAAGTTAATATTTAGAATGCCTTCTCTCCATATGTACACTTCAATTGCATGGGAAAAGCTAATATTAGACTAATTAGGAAACTTAAGAAGGTTCTAATGTTCCCTAATGTCAATTATGGTTACATTTTCAGACAGCAACCATGCGAGCGCCTCCATTACAGGATGGTTCAAGCAGTCTCAAGAACCTAGTACAGTACCTGAAGATTTAGCTGTGGATGACCCAGACAGTCTTACAACACTATGGCCAGATGACCCTGACTCTGGTCACCCTTTTACAAGGGCCGCGCTCCAAGGGGATGTCAACACCATCAAAGAATATGTGGCTCGTCAGACCTTTGATCCAACTTCTAAGAAATCCCAGCATGCTTTGTTGGTTGCTTGCCGCACTGGTGAGAGTTTGCATATTTATTTTGATGTACAATTCATGAAGTATTGTCAAAGATGCTGTATATTTTAACATGGCTATTTACTAATAAAGTCAAGTATGTTTATTGGGACAAGAAAAAATACATCTCAAAGGGATAGAGTAGCTTAGGCTATCTCTAACCCTCTCCCCCTCTACTTCAAGTCCCCCAAGGGGCACACAAATTCAGCGAGTATAAATACACAAATCACAATACAAGAATCCCAGTTAACATTGCAGGTTAATATAGCAAGCACAGCATATAAGTGTTAGACTCTTAGGGCAAAATTCTTGTAGCTGCTAAGTATTCTGTCAATCATACCATTATCACACATCCAAACAATTTGATGAGGTACACTACTTATTTCTTTATTTCTATAGTTATCAATAAGTTGACACGAACACACAATGTTCCAAGTATTACATAATTTACACTCCTTATCTTTTTCACTGGTATCAACACCGTATTGCCGGATATATTTGTACCTTAATTAATCTTAATCTCATGTAAATTGAATCCTTCCGAGTAGACTTTCCTCTACCATAGGTGAAGGACGAATTTGTATTTATTATTGAATAATTCTTAAGTGTGTTACTACTGTCCACCATTGTCATTCTCTTTACCTTTTCTTCATCCTCTTGGATCATCTTGATTCTTCTTTTTGTTTGTTTCAAAGTTATCTGGTTATACCATGGCTCTCTTTGCTATCTCATCAACTACTCATCAACTACATCATACTCATTCAACAGTATTCCCACATATGAAGGGATCCACATGAATCTTACTTTATACCCAGTTTTCTGTGGAGAGCCCCTTCGGCTCCCCGGAGCTATACCGGGCTGATGTGTATATATTAGACAGTGGCAACAGTCAATCGAAGGAATTCTAGGCCTACCAGGGACCAGAGCCAGAACCTGGCAGAGAGGCATGAGGACCAATGGCCTAAATTGGCCATTGTTAAATTGACGTGTACAGTAATTGGAAGCAGTCTTTGTCTGCCATCTACCAGGTCAGGCACCCAGAAAGGTAGGAAAAGAACAAACTACTGCTGATCAAATAATTTGTAAACCAAAAGCCAAACTAGCAACAGAACTCCCCAATCAAAACCAAGGAAACAAGTATGACGTCACCACAAACGGCGCACATCTGTCTGTGCAACTCCCCCCCTCCCCAGGAGGGGGACGGGGGTTCCCAGACCTCCATGCCAGCAGCTCTCCTCAGTTCAAGAGGCTGTTGTGTTGGTGACGGTCGATCGCTCTGGCTCCACTCTTTGCGCGGTGCTGCAGTGCGGTGTTGTTGCTCTGTTTTGGTGGTGTGTGAGCCAGACGTAACACGAGTACTGGGGCTGCATGCACCTAGGGCCGCCTTCCCTAAGTGCCCTTTAAGTACTGCCTTTGCAGCCTCAGGGTTATGTTCCATGAGCTGTTCAGGAGCTGCTACCTCCGATGGTTCTGTTGTTGCTCGGTGATTGCCCACCCTTGGGGGTTCAGTTCGGGTGGTTCGTACTCCTGTTTTCCCTTGGGTAGGAGGTAGTTTCGTCGCTGGCTGGGACGCGAGGTACTGTGCAGCTGTCTGATATACGCATAGCGACTGGTTCTGTTCTCCTGGCGATGTTGTGCTTTTGCAGGGTTTTTCTTTTGTTTTTGGTTTGTTTTGCCTGGTGGGGGTCTGCCAGGTGTGGCGGTAGGACCACTAGTAGGATTTTGGTGGTCCTCCACTAGGTCCCCGTGCTTTCACACGTCGCAGGGGTTCAGCTTTTAGATTGTTTGCTTGGTATTTCTGGGATAACCGGTTAGCAGTACCTCGCCTGGGCTTCCCTTCTCAGTTAGCCTAAGGGCCCTGGAAACCCCCATTGGGGCTCAGTGGTCCAATGTAGGAGACCTCTGAGTCCCACCTCGCCTTGTGCGAGGTGGGACTTACGCCACTTACCGTCTGCCTTGTGCGCCACTTACCGTCTGCCTCCACCTTGCTGCCTGTTGAGGTCAGTGACACCTATGACCCGGAGTCCTGTGCGTGGTGTTATTTGCTTGTACTCCATTCACCCAGTCCACTGAGACTGATATTTGGGTGCAGGCAGCTTTAGTGTTGCATGCGAGGTTTAGGTTGCAGCAACGTGTGAGATTGGTTACCTTTCCTGCAAACCCCGCAGGATTTGTGTGCCCGTGGGCACTTTGCTTCGGTCTTGCGCTTCTTTTCCCTGCTGGAGCTGTCTTCAGACTGTCTCGTGCTGGGTGTGGAGGAGCTGGGTTCCAGGCCAGCGTCCGGTGTGCTTGCTTCGGCAACTCGGGCGGCGGCTGCCTTGGTGAAGTTGTATGTGCCATTTCTGAGGGAGGCGGTGTCTGTTATATGCTTCTCGCCTCGCGTGCTGACAGGCGGTACTTGTCCAAATTTTGGGATCGTCTTGGGCCCTGGCTTAGATTTTCATCACCTTTTTGTCTGTTCCAGTTTGCAGAGTCTGTGGTGGTGCTTTTTCTGCAGGCGGCTTCGTCTAGTTGACGGCCTTTGTCGGACTTGTAGGTTCTCTGCGCGGAGAGGGGGGGGGGGGGATGGAGGTTCTGCCTGGAAGGGTTGTGCAAGGTCTCAGGGTTCCTTCGGTCGTCATAAGCCAGTGGTGCCAGATTTGGGGCGGCACCACCTCTGGAGCTGTTAACGTCTGGTTGGCGCAGTGATCGCTCTTACGGTTGGTTGGGCTCTCGTAGGAGACGTCGGCCCTTTCTAGCCTGGTCCCACGATTCGTGGGCATTTTGGGTCATTTCCTCCGGCCTGCGGTGGCTTGGGTCGCTCTTCCTCCTTCGGGGGGGATCGGGGTTGGCAGGGCAGGCCTCTTCTCCTGTGCTCTGTCAGGTCATCAGGGAGTAGGTTTGCTTGGGTGTGGTCAAAATGACAACGTCCCTCAGGTGGGTTTCCTGCCTGTTTTCAGTTCTGGAACGGAACTGTGTGGATCTGTGATTCATACTGGACTTGTCTAGTCTGAATCCCTGGGTCTTTTGCCCCTCCTTTCGGATGACCACTCTGTCTCGGGTCCGGCTGCTTTTGGCACCGGGTGCCTGGATGGTGTCTCTGTACCTCTGGGAAGCGTATTGGTTTTTTATAATTTTATTGTTCACGTCCCGATTCATCAGTGACTGGCTCGTGTTTTGTCTTGGGGCGACAAGCTTACCGCTTTCGTTGCCTTCCATGCGGCTTGAATCTGGCACCTCGAGTGTTCACACGCCTTACCGGGTCGTGGTGACCTGTTTGCTTCTGTTAGGGGTTTGGGTTCTGGCTTACCTCGACGACTGGCTGGTGTGGGCTCCCAGCCAGTCCACGTGTCTGCTCGCCAGGGATATGGTTTTTTCCCAGCTCGGCGGGTTCAGTTCATGGTGCACTGGAGGAAGTCCCTTTTGGTTCCCTCTCAGATTCAGACTTGGCCGAGTCTGGTGTGGGACTCTCGGACCGCTTCCTTGTCACTCCCTCCTGCGATGCTGTTGTAGCTGCGGTCGCGCCCCCGGCTGTTTTTGGAGGGCACCCGGGTCACACGTCAGTTGTTTGAGCAGCTGTGCGGGAGCCTGAACTTCGCCCTGCTGGTCTACCCATCGGGTTGGATCTGGCTTCGTCAGATGTTATGGTTTCTTCAGGGTTGTCCCTTCCGCCACTCTCACGATCGATGGGTTCGGATCCCGGGAGCCTTGTGTTGACTGCTGCATCGCCGGGTTCCTCTGTAGGTTTTTTGGTGTTCTGTGTCGTGGCACCTCCCTGAGCCCTCACTCGTGTGTTCACGGATGCCTCGTCTCTCGGCTGGGGTTTTGTGACAAGTGCTCACCAGGCCAGCCAGGGTGGGTCGATGGGGTTCGTCCTTCCGTCAAGCTCACAGCACGGTGCGGGAGTTTGCGGCGCTGTGGCATTCGCTTCAGAGGATTTGGGTCGCTCGAGGAGCAACGATTTGGCTCCATTCGGATTGCTCCCTGGTGGTTCATTGCCTGAACCGTGGGGGTTCGATGAGGTCCTTGGTTCTTTAGGGCTGGTCGTTTCGGGTGACTCGTCTGCTAAGTTCTAGGGGGTTTGGCTCTCCTGGCAGTTCATGTTCAGGGGGTGTCAAATGTCCTGGCGGACGGCCCTTCTTGGTTCATTCCCCTTTCCACGGAATGGACAGTCGACGCCGACTTGTTCAGTTGGCTCTGCCAGACGTATGGGCACCCAGAGGTGGACCTATTCGTATTGGCGTGGTCGAGGCGTCTTCCAGTTTGTGGCGCCCTTCCCAGACTGCTAGGCTGTCAGGGTCGATGTCTTTCGGCTGGTATGATTGAGGTGGAATTACGTGTACCTCTTCCCTCTGGTCCGGTTTTGCTCGGAATCCTGGCTCGGTTGGAAACTTACCAAGGGAGAGTAGTCCTGTTGGCTCCTTGGTGGCCGGGCCAGCCTTGGTTTCAGGCGCTTCTTGCTCGATGTCCGAACCCGAGGGTCTTCTGTGGCTCCGCCTCTTTCAGCAGATCGGTCCGGTCTGATACGTGGCTGGTTCGATCTTCTCCACTCTTCGCGTCTGGTCTTTTTTGATGCGAGTGTATCACCACTTGTATGGTGACCAGGTGGCTTAGTTGGTGGTGTCCCATCTGCGAGTTTCGTCTAGACGGCAGTATGAAATTTCCTGCCGGTCCTTTCGGCAATTTTTGTCTCTTTGTAGGTTATCTTCAATTTCTGATCGGGTTGTTTTGTCCTTTCTCTTAGTTGTTTCAGGACAGTCATCTTGTGCCAAATACTGTCGCCTTGTTTTGTGCGACGCTTTTGGGGTAGATGTCACTTCTGCTCCGTTCGCAAGATTTCTCGGGTGTTGTTTCACCTCCGGCCTGCTCATGTGCCGCCTGAGCCGTCCTGGTCGTTGGACTGGGTGCTCTCTTTTCTCTCTTCTCCTCAGTTTGTGGTGGCCCCCTCGGTTCATGACTGTTTTTCTAAGGCACTTTTTCTTGTTGGCATATGGCCTCTGGGGGTTGGGTCGAGGAGCTTCATGCTCTCCTCCGGCGCAGGGGTTTCTGCTCTTTCAGTCCTGGTGGTCATTTCGTTTGTTTGCAGCCTTCTTCTCTTCTGGTGAAGAATCAGTCTGCTGCTTTCCGAAGGGGTCCTTGGGTTGTTGATGCTTGGTTGGTTCGGCTGGAGGTGCATCATGTTTTATGTCCAGTTGTGGGTCTTTGCCGGTATTTGCGTGCCACGGCCTCCGTGGCAGGGGACACGCTTTGGGTGGATTCAGTTTCCCTTCTTCCCTGTTCCAAGCCGTGGTTCTCCCAGGTTGTCCACAGAATTATTCGGTCCAGCCAGCCTATGGTCTATCCCTGTGTCCACGACGTTCGTAAGTTTGCGGCTTTGGCTTCTGTTTTTGGGAATTATGTCCTGGGCTGACATTCGGGCACGGGGCTTTTAGAGGTCGAACAGGTTCCTGGCTGCACGGTTTCTCGTTAATGTTCCTGGGCCTTCTCGGGCATGTGTAGCTTTGGGTCGCATCTTGGAGCCATTTGTCTCGACTTCGAGTTGGGGGGAGCGAGTGACGACCGCCTCCCGGGTAAGTCCTTCTTTTTCTTTATCTTTGATTAGGTAGCTCCTGAAAGCCGAATGGGCTCTCCACAGAAAACCAGCGTTGAATGTAATGAAACGCCATTTTCTGGGTGAGACCCGGAGGCTCCCCGGCATCCCTCCCTCCCTTTGGTCGGCGTTTTTTTGCGTGTTTGATACTCGGGCTCTGAACCGAGGAGAGTTGCCAGCGTGGATGTCTGGGACCCCCCCTTCCCCATCCCGGGGAGGGCGGGGGGTTGCGCAGATGGATGCGCTGCGTTTGTGGTGCCTTCATACAGGGGTACCTCGGTTTAAGAGTTTAATCCGTTCTTGGAGACAGCTCGTATTCCAAAAACTCGTATTCTGAAGCTAATTTCCCCATAAGAAATATTGGGAAATGAATTAATCCGTTCCTGACTACCCCAAAAACCCCACATCAAACTAAATTTTTATACCTAACTCATCTAAATAAACCTACAAAACTATGTTCAAGTTATTACTTACCCTTGCTGAGGACTGCTGTTGGTGTATGGAAGATGTGAGGAGGAGGAGGGAGGAGAGGTGTTACTGTTTGGAAGAGGAGTCTCCTTCCATTATAACATCAGGCAGTGAGGACTTCACTGGTATGCACTCTCTGGCACATTTTGCCTGCATACCACTAGGACTTTCTTGTTTTACTAAGAATCTATCTAAAGACACTTGTTTTTCCCTACATTTTAACACTTGTCTGTAGTAGGACATCACATTGTCATTTAAAAGGTCAATGCAATGTCCTGCTACAGCTTTATCTGGGCGAGTTTTTTCAACAAAACTTTGCAGTTCTTCCCATACTTTACACATTTTGTTAATCAAGAAGGGACATCCTCTACTGCCTCTACTCACAGCTATTTTCTTAGGTTGAACCTTATCAATGGCTTTCTTGAGACCCATGGCGAGATATATAATGACAACTTTTATGCTCAAATGGCCAAAAAACTGACAAAAAACTGTAAATCCTTGTGAAGAATTCAGGTGGGATAGTCACTGAGCGCGAGACACTGGTAAACTGAGGAGCGATCGCCGGCCACTATGTGCTAGTCGGCCTGTACACGTATCAACAAACTCGTGTTCCGAGGTAACCCTTGCCCTCCGAGGCACATTTTCCGAGCAAATCCTGCTCGTATTCCGAAAAACTCACATTCAGGGACACTCGTATTCCGAGGTACCACTGTACTTGTTTCCTTGGTTTTGATAGGGAGTTCTGTTTCTAGGTCGGCTTTCGGTTTGCAAATTATTTAATCAGCAGTAGTTTTTGGAATTCCTACTTTTCTGTGTGCCTGACCTGGTAGATGGCAGACAAAGACTGTTTCCAATTACCCAGGGATGTCTTTAGGCCATTGCTCCTCGTGCCTTTCTTGAGGGGGCCAGGTTCTGGCTCTGGGCCCCGGTAGGCCTAGAACTCCTTCGATTGACTGTTGCCATGGTCTAATAAATACACATCAGCCCGGTATAGCTCCGGGGAGCCTCCGGGTCTCGCCCAGAAAATGGCGTTTCATTACATTCAACACTGGTTTTTTCTAATTTCTTAACATTTTCTCTACACTTTATCACAATATTGTGGTAAACTGGTCGTCTGCTATTTAAAGACTCTAGCACTCCTCTGTCAATAAAGAATCAGGCACATTTTACCACATTTGACTATTTTCTTTAATCCTGCTAATATACCTTGGAGTTCAGCCTGGCTATTTACTATTAGTATGTCACTGAGTTTTGTGTCTTGTTTTTCTTGGATATTGTTTAAGGTAATATCCAAGAACATGTCTTTGAAACATTTCCATATAATCACAATGAAATCACAAGAATGTGGTGAATCTTTGAATGACTATTTAGAATGGAATGCGCATCCTTAAACTGGTTAGGCACCTGCACTATCAACTGGACCATGATGGGCCCAAAGCATCTCGACCAGAATTACTACTGGGTGGTGCCATCCAAACTCCATGTATGTTAAGAAGTATTTCCGATTAAGATAGTTTTAGTCGGTCATGATCCAGTTAATTTGCGTGTGCCTGAGGAGTTGAGAGACGCATGTTCGATTCCATCGTACAGCTTTAATATTTATTTGTCTTTATATCTTGTTTTATTCCCTTTGTTTTTCTTATGAAATCTTTCCTGCATTTTGCACTGCCCCTCTTCTAGTTTGCTGGTTGCCTATCCTAAATTTTACCTGGCAGTTATGTAATCAGTCATTCTCTTGTACAATCTTAACCATTGTCAAGTACCCTTTTTAACTCTGGCCATATTCACTGTATTTTTTTCCTTCCTATGCAGTCATACTTCTGTTTAGTACACAATTGTTAATATGTGCTTAAGTGCAGTGAACCCTCAGACAGCATGGATTCAGATGACAAAGTTTTTACAATTTGAGCTATTTCCTGTCGATGATTCCGAGGATCGATGTCCCCGTGGCCTCTGATCAGGCCTCCTTGGTATTAACACCAGTAGTATGAAAACCTATTGATTGTCATATGAAATTTTACATGGAAAGGAGATTAAACTCAAGCTAATTTTCTTGTTAAAATAAAATCATCCAATATCTATTGTGGACATATCTGCATTAGAAACCTTATTACTGGTGCTGGAAATATGTGGGTGCCACAACAGTGTCAGGACCCACAACATAGTCTTGGGGCCAAAATTTAGTCTCATGGCATCACCTTGGTAAACACTTCATGTACTCCTAACACTGATATAAAACACTTGATATAAAATATTCATCTTCTCATGAAATAATTATTTTGCTTCCCATATCAATGAATGTTACACGGCAGTCTGATTGTGTTCATAGTGGAATAATACTGACACAGGCGAGGGCAACTCTTATGATGGACTGGTGGCTCAAACACCACTTGCCGACCAACATGGTACAGTCGTGTGAAGTGGGTTGCGAGTGATGTGCTGAGGTTGGGTACAATAGTAGGTGGCCAAAGTAGAGCGCTGTAGTGATAGTTCCCATTGCCAAGGACAAGAAGCTTGTGAGGCTTTCCAAGATCCCCCCCCCCCCCCTCCCCCATCCTCCTCAAGTCACCTTCAAAAGGATGCAACCTCACGACAGTTGCCTAACTCTCGGGTACCTATTTACTGCTAGGTGAACAGAGGCATCAGATGTTAAGACAATTACTAATTTTATTCACCGTTTCAGGAAATGTGGAACTCACACAGGTGCTGCTTCAAGCAGGCGTTGATGTTCACTGCAAGGATGCCAAGTCTGGGTGGCAGCCTATACATATTGCCACATGTAAGTGTCCCTCTCTTGGTTCTTGCACCACAAGCTATTTATCTCTTTATTTATTGATATACAATAAGGTTCAATGTGTTGTGAAAGTACATATTTTGGTGATTAAATGGTATATTCTTGCAAAGCCACTAACATGCAGAGCATTTCCTTCTTTGTATGTTCACAGTACATATATTTCTAGCATACATTTCATAAAGTATTTATATTATATTTCACAATGCATATATTTCTGCTGTATGGGTCTGGAAACTAGCTCACTTACTGACACTTTTGTCTGAGGTGGTGCCCCTGGGGCCCAACTAGGTCCTTCTTAGTTTGCTCTCTAGTGTGTGGCAAGCAAGGGGAATAAAGACCTTGAGCTTGCCTCTGCATGGTTCAGTTACATATACAGGGTGGTGGTGGTGTAGGGATTATGATGATTTGCTCCTGTGGCACAGATCTTGAGCAAGGCTTATTCCTCTGGCGTTCTCAAAGTTTTCCCAGATATTTCTGAAAGTTTTTTCTCTAGTTAGCTCCTATGATTGTAGCAAGTAGAAACCTCCACTCAGGATTGAGCTTGCCTGCTTTGTGCAGTGTGATCAGTTGCCAGTTAATTGGTGTGACTATATTACTTGACTATTGTTTCAAGTTACGTCATCAAATCATATCAATTAGGACCGACATATTGTTTAAGCTAATAAAAATATCGAGTAACTACCAGAGCACTGGATACACACTCTGGATAAACTATTTGAGTAGGACACCTCTGTGGGTGGTCCTCCTCCAAGAGGACGATCACCTATGAGGATGTTGGAGGAGGATGTTTACATGAGCTTATCCTGCTGCTTCTCTAAATATCTAGACTTCCTAGCAGCTTGTTGGAAAAACCTTGTTCTCTGCAAATTACTGACATATCCTGGTGAGTGATGGGTCACTCCTATGCGCAACAATGAATTCCTGGCTAACCCCCTCCCCCCTAGATGTCTTCATTTCAGAGGTTTCATAGAGCCATAAAAGTTTAATGATTTCAGCTCTTGTGGTCACAGTAGCCACGAGTGAGCTCTTTGAGGCAACACTGGTTGAGTCAGCTGTCAGCTTCGCTCCTACTGCTCCCTCACAGACCTTTCTTTTGCTTTTACTCTTCTTTCTTTCCCTTTTCTGTGGTTTGTCACTCTGTGATGTCAGTAGGAAAATTCTTCCAGGTTTGCATCAAATCAGCAGTGTGAGCACTCTGGGTCAAGCTTCCCATGATTCCTGGCCACCATTCTCTGAATTGAACTTGGTGTGGTGGGATGTTTGACTCTGAAAATCAACAATTGCTGGAGCATACCCAAGCAATAATCCATAAACAACATGCTTATTCTGAACTGACTGAATTGTTTCTTTGATTTATGGAATGTCAACTCACACGAATGCCTCAATATTACCTTGGCTCATCAATCAGGATGATTGATCAGAACACCGAGACAATCATCTATCTTATTTCCTGGCTCCACTAAGTTTCTTCACTATGTAAGCGTTCGCTCCTCTATCTCTTAAGACCTACGTTAACTTCCCTTTTACTGATCCTTCTACAACCTGCTTGATACCTGCTTGATGGGGTTCTGGGAGTTCTTCTACTCCCCAAGCCCGGCCCGAGGCCAGGCTCGACTTGTGAGAGTTTGGTCCACCAGGCTGTTGCTTGGAGGGGCCCGCAGGGCCTCATACCCACCACAGCCCGGTTGATCTGGAACTTCTCTTAGAAAACAGTCCAGTTTTCTCTTGAAGATGTCCACAGTTGTTCCGGCAATATTTCTTATAGTCGCATAGTCGCTGGGAGGACGTTGAACAACCGCGAACCTCTGATGTTTATACAGTGCTCTCTGATTGTGCCTATGGCACCTCTGCTCTTCAATGGTTCAATCTTGCATTTTCTTCCATATCGTTCACTCCAGTACGTTGTTATTTTACTGTGTAGATTTGGGACCTGACCCTTCAGTATTTTCCATGTGTATATTATTTGGTACCTCTCTCGTCTCCTTTCTAGAGAGTACATTTTGAGAGCTTTGAGACGATCCCAACAATTTAGGTGTTTTATCTCGTCTATGCGTGCCGTATATGTTCTCTGTATTCCCTCTATTTCAGCAATCTCTCCTGCTCTGAAGGGGAAAGTGAGTACTGAGCAGTACTCGAGATGGGACAACACAAGTGACTTGAAGAGTACAACCATTGTGATGGGATCCCTGGATTTGAAAGTTCTCGTAATCCATCCAATCATTTTTCTGGCTGACGCGATATTTGCTTGGTTATGCTCCCTAAACGTTAGATCGTCGGACATCATTATTCCCAAATCCTTGACATGCTGTTTTTCTACTATGGGAAGATTCGATTGTGTTTTGTACCCTGTATTATGTTTCAGATCCTCATTTTTGTCGTACCTGAGTACCTGAAATTTATCACTGTTAAACATCATGTTATTTTCTGCTGATCAATCGAAAACTTTGTTGACATCTGCTTCTAGTTTTTCAATGTCTTCAGCAGAGGTAATTTTCATGCTGATTTTTGTGTCATCTGCAAAGGACGACACGAATCTGTGACGTGTATTTTTGTTTATATCGGATATGAGAATATGGAACAGTAGCAGTGCAAGGACTGTACCTTGAGGTACAGAGCTTTTAACATCACTTGGACTCGATTTTATCTGATTGACTGTTACTCTTAGTGTTCTGTTCGACAGGAAGTTGAGTATCCAGCGTCCTACTTTTCCAGTTATTCCCATTGACCTCATTTTGTGAGCTATCACCCCATGGTCACATTTGTCGAACGCCTTTGCAAAGTCTGTGTATACAACATCTGCATTTTGCTTTTCATCTAGGGCTTCTGTGATTTTGTCATAGTGGTTGAGTAACTGTGACAGACAGGATCTTCCCGCTCTAAATCCATGTTGTCCTGGATTGTGCAATTCATTGTTTTCCATAAAACTAGAATTTTGATTCCTAATCACTCTTTCAAACACTTTTATTATGTGTGATGTTAGTGCAACTGGCCTATAATTTTTTGCCAAGGCTTTACTCCCCCCCCTTGTGCAACGGAGCTATATCTGCAGATTTAAGTGCTGCTGGTATCTCCCCTGTATCCAGGCTCTTTCTCCATATTACGCTGAGTGCTCTCGCTACTGGTATTTACATTTCTTTATAAATATTGAATTCCATGAGTCGGGCCCAGGAGCTGAGTGCATAGGCATATTGTCAATTTCTCTTTCAAGGTCTTCCGAGTTTGTGGTAATATCTGTTATATAATCTGCAGCTTGAATGTCATTCATAAAGAAGCTGTCTGGGTCATCAACTTTCATGTTGTTTATTGGTGTGCTAAACATAGCCTCATACTGGCTTCTTAGAATTTCACTAATCTCTTTGTTGTCCTCTGTGTACGTACCTTCATTTGTAATTAACGGTCCAATACTGGTCGAGGTTTTTGATTTTGATTTTGCGTATGTGAAAAAATATTTCGGATTTTTCCTTATCTCTTGTATAGCTTTCTGTTCCAATTCTATTTCCTCATACTCATATGATCGCTTCAACGTTTGTTCTATTTCTTCGATCTCCCTGCTTAGGCTTATTTTCCTTGCTTGTGATAGTTGTGTCTGCCGAAGCATTTCTGTTATTTTTTTCCTTCTCCTGTACAGTCGTCTGAGTTTTCTTTCTAGAGTGGTCCTCTTTCTGCCCCTCCTCACAGGCACGTGCTTCAAGCAGACCTTGTAAGCTTCAGCTGTCAGTTGAGCTATTCCCTGTGTGGGAGTTTTGTCGCTTAAGACCGTCTCCCATTGAATGGTTGCAAGGTCTACATTTATTTTTTCCCAGTCAATCCTCTTATTGTTGAAATTGAATTGATTGAATATTCCTTCTCGCTTGTTGGGTCTCTTAGACCTACTACCGTTATTTATGCTAGTTCGCACTTCAATGAGCTTATGGTCTGAGTATGAAGTATCTGAGATTGTGATATGTCTGATTAGTTCATCATTGTTTGTGAATAACAAGTCTTAGTGTGTTTTCGTTCCTAGTTGGTTCTGTAATCTGTTGATTGAGCGAGAATTTGTCACAGAATCTCAAAAGTTCTCTGACCTGTGGTTGGTTATTTCCCGGGTCATTCCTTGCTATGATATTTGTGTTTGCCATTCTCCATCTTAGACTCGGTAAATTGAAATCTCCAAGGAAGATAATATCTGGAGCTGGGTTTGCTAGGTTATCAAGTATGTTCTCTATTTTGTGCATCTGCTCTGTAAATTCCTCAACCGTTGTATCTGGCAGTTTATATATTAGAATAATAATTAGGTTTAGTTTCTCTATCTTAATTCCAAGTACCTCTACCCCCTCATTAGTTGAGTTTAGTAGTTCTGTGCATACCAGGTCCTCTTTAATATACAGACCTACTCCTCCATTTGACCTAGTTTTTCTATCACATCTATATAAATTATAATTTGGAATCCAGATTTCACCATCCATGTAATCTTTTGTATGAGTTTCTGTGAATGCCCCAAATATTGAGTTTGACTCTTAATAGAAGGCCATTTATGAACTTAACTTTATTTCTTGACTTTGGCTTTAAACTTGAATGTTTGCAAATATGAATGATTGTCCATATTGTGTGTCACTTCTGGAAGGTTTTGGTAGTTGGTAACCTCCAGTGTGTAGGGTAATGGATTTTCACCATTGTTGGTGTTTCTATCTTCATAAGAGCTCATACCAGCTGTGAGTCTTTGCTTTGGTCGTGCCTTGCTGTGTCCAAGAATCGTGCAATCAGCTGCTCAATGAGCAGGTGTGCCGCAGTTGTAGCTTTTCTGCTCGTGTCGCTGATAACTTTCCCGACTACTCAACATAAGTCTTTGGCCTGGCTCCTGCAGTACCCTTAACAACTTGTTTTTCAGATTATTTAGTGTTTCCCTAGCCCACTGGTCAGGTTTCTTTGCCATAGATTAGTTAGAAGCTGTTACTTTCTTTCAGCTCATCTGGATAGGTAAGTCACATGCAACCATGAATTGCTGTCAAATGATCTGATTGTTGAACTCCATAATGCCGTGCTCAGTCTTTTTGAAGTTTGTAGTAGCAATCTAGACTACATTTCAAGCTCTAATAACAATGTGTAGGTCTCTCCCTTGTTAAATTTCACCTCATGAAAGTTCTCTAGCATACTGTCTGCCATGATGTAAAATCTATGCAACAGGTGTTAATTTGTGTATTAACAAGTTAATTGTCTAAAGAGCTTCATAGCAACTGTGTTGCTGTGGTCATAGACCATGATAGATATTGAGTGCCATACCTTTAAGCAATGTGGCAAGACTTCATGTCCACTCTAACTGTCTAATTGGAATCAGCGGCAATGCGTTAAGAATGACCCGATATAAGCATTTATCGAGTCGACTGTCTTGTCAAAATTTTATAATTTAGGCAAGCTGCAAGATAGCCTGACTACCATATTCTGTCTAGTATAATCACATTCTTCCTCCTCCTCCTCCTCTCAGTTTACAACTGCATAAGTGCTATCCATTTGTTACTTTCTGTAACCTGTTGGTCAATCCACATGGTCTTAACAAAAGGAATCTTTTTTCTTCTCTTCTTGGCCCATTTGCATGGCTTGGGATTTTAACTATTTTAACTCCATGAGGGGTAAATCTGTTTGTGAATGGGTTACCTGCTTCCTATGCAGACCTCATCCCTGGGGAGTGGGAACCCCTCTCCCAAATGCTCGTCAACAAAGATATTCCTGTCAGAGACCCTCCCACTAGAGACCGTGAAGGGCTCGACTCCCTCTCACTACTGTAGTCTCTCACTGTGTTGAAATTTTTGTTTTCTCCAATAGTGTCATCACCCTTGATTTCCTGCAACTGACATTCAATGTTTGCCATGTGTTTCTGTACCAATTCTTGACCCTCCTCCACGAGGCTGTCAAAATCTCTGGGTTTATCATTGGTCACTGCCATACAAATCTCCAGGTACCACTGCACCCATGACTTCTACATGGGTGCAGTCATACTGCCAGTGTGTGTGTGTGTGACTAACAAGTGTAAAACGTATTGAAATTGTTTGCAAAATTAGATAATTAAAAACAAAAATTCCAGTTATACATGGGGTGCTTGAATTTACTTGAGATTGGTGTTAGTCAAAGCTTAATTGCACTAGAAAGACACGGGATGTCCAACTGATAAGTTCCCATAGGAACACCCTCATTTAACACTTTGGGACAACTAATCATTAACTCGGGTCTTCACAATATATATGCAATTAATCTCAATAACTTGTCACTCGGTCAAGTAATAGTCATACACAATTACCAATTATCAATATAACCACTGATTATTGCACAATCATAATCATTGCACAATTATGCAATAATGAGTGTTAGCTAAATGTTTCTGTGTGTGTGTTTAGTCACTAACAGTGACCAACCAGTGTAAACACAACCTTCCACTAAGGTGTAGTTACATGTTAACTGTCTTTAGTCTCTCTTTGATCTCTGACATGACCTGTCCTGATGTTTGGGTAGACAAGAAACATTGGTGGTTCACGCAGCAAGGATCATCTCAGTAAAACAGAATACCGTATTTACAGTGGCCGGGCCCCTCGTTCACACTCTTTCAACTTCTCGGGTAGTCAATCGTGGCAATCTCTGTGGTACAGCCACATGCAGCAGTCTTCTCAGCTCGACATGTAGCTGAACACAACCTTCCCTTGATGATATGTGGTAGATGGGTGATGAACAGGTGGCTGGTAACACATGCTTGCTGATCAACACCTCTCATTGATATTTCATACACACTTAAGGTTGCTTCTCTCATTGCCGGGGAAGACATGGTTGATGATTCTGCAGAAACACAGACTAAAAAAAAATGTGGCTGAAGTCTCGTTCCCTTGACAGTTAATATCGTAGCAAATACACAGACAACAATGTGGCACTGCTTTACAATAGTGCAATGGTGACTGAAACTCTTCTAGGCTTCTATGATGACTTGGATCAAACATAAACATTTTATTTAGGCAAAAGTACATACATACCTAGGATATAAGGAGATTGTTGGATTCATGGATAGGCAGATACGTCGCCTAAAGCCTAATGTGCAGAGCCCTGAACCTTGATCATGTGGGCAACACTTTAAGACAATAGTTCTCTTCTCTCCCCACCTTGTGGGGTTTGTTAGTTATTAGATCACTTAGTTATGTCTATAATTTCCTGGCTATGATACCAGGCATTTGCAAAATATATATAGTAAAAAGTATCTTCTTGTATAACTTGATATTAGAGCTTAGTGGATTGATAAATTATCTACTTATTTGACCTAATAGACAACAATCAGCAACCCAACTGCCTTGTACAGAGGTTGGTAATGG